TGGGCTTCGGCAATGTCAGACAGTCGCTAAATGTTGAATCTGATGACGTGGGCTGCTGCTGAAACCAGGTCCCGACATATCGCTTCTTCTTCCGCCCTTCCACGTAGTTATCCAGACCAGGATCATCATCGCTAGAGAATACAGCTGGATCGCTCGAGTCATAAAGTCCGCCTGAATGCGGATGACGAACACGCTTGCGGGGATTCTTGCTGAAGCTCTGAGAGCACTCATCCCACGACACGGCCGGCAGGCGCGGGAGAGACGGTTCTTCAGCCATTGCGACCAGACTTTGCCACAGATTGCAGGAAAAATTGCATCAAAGTTTTCCTAGACCACGCACGATGCATGGGCCGAGTTTGCAACGGACGGGGACGACACCAGCCGCCGTTAATGAGGAAGAAATGAAGAAATGTAGCGTGTTGAGAGAGAGCTCCGCCGGGACGCGCCAGGAACGCGGATGATGTCGGGGGTCCAGTCCTACTCAGTCCAATCTGCGTTACCTGCCTATCGTGTCCCCGTATCTTCAGCGCCCCACCCCTCCTGTCGTGTGCCCGAATGGTGGGGCTGGCAAGATACATGTTCATTCGCCAGAGCCAGAAAAATTGATGAGAGTTGTCGTCCAAGAGGAGAGCATTTGCTTGCTGCGTAAGGAGCGACTACTCGTTTCACAAGATTGTGTCGATTAGTGTTCTTGCAAGCGTCGTAAATCAAGCAGAGCTCTCGGACTCCAATATTGTCGAATGCGCAGCCAATCGCGAGTTGCTGGTACAAATCATGTATGGCTTTGGGGTTTCGTTTTACGCTGCGTCTCTCGCTGAGGTATGACAATTTCTTTATTCTTTTTTTTTTTTTTTCATGGCGTGTCTTATTCCCAATCATCGTCTTCGCCATCATTTCTTGATCTTCCAGCTGCGCCAGTCTTAATACTTTTGCCCAGTCCAGCCAAGCGTTCGTCTTCAGCTTCCTCGGCGGCTTGTCTCCTCTTGATTACACGCATATCCGATTCGGGAACGGCTCCAACCTCGACAAGCAAGTTGTCAATATGTCGCATGTTCGTTCGAACACCACCGAGTGTCATCAGGGTGACCTCTTGCTTGACAATGTCCCCTTTGTTGTACACCAGTATAGTTGGGCAGTTCCTGTCCGGGTAGTTCTCAATGGCCTGGTTCGCGCGGATTTCGCAAAACTTGACATCACCGTATTCCCTGGCAGCTTGCCGCCAAAGTTCCGAAAGGACTCTTGATTCCACATTCGTTCCAGTGCCGGCTGTCAAGTTGACGAACACATGTCCCTTTTGAGAAGCGTCTGTGACTTCGCGCTGGTAGTCTGGTTTCGATATCGGGTAGACACTACCATGATTTGACTTTTTCTGAAGACTGCTGAGCTCAGCCATGCGCTTTTGCCGATACAGGTCCAGGAACTCCTCGTCCTCCAAATCCTCTAATTCATCAAGCTCGTCCAGGTCCTTTCCTTCGAGTCGATTTTCGTGCGCTAATCTTCGACCTTCAATAATCGCCTCCTCAATCATAGGAGTAGGGCTCGGCGGCTTTTCTGGAATGACTCCATGTTTTCGCAAGATATCGTTCCTGTACGAGTCAGCACTTTCTACATCGAGGTGCCACCGCGGGGTACTTACCACTCTGTATCTGCATTTGGGTCATCAATAGGAACAGCAATTCGCTGATCGCCAGGAGCCGCCATACTGAAATAAATTATGGCAAACGAGCTTCTCGAGAACGTCCGGCCCAAACTTTTTCCAAGGCAAAACGACCGAAGAGTCAAGGCAACAGGACCACAGATTCACAAATGGCAGCCTGATGGAATTAACGACGAGCATCTTCGAAGTACGCACCAGGCTGATGGGTTCAATCGCCCCATATTACAGGGCCATGGCCAAGGATGGCATAAGTTGCACAAGGCTCTCCACCGCCTGCACAAAATACAAGTTCTTGTGGGCCCCTTTCGTGCAATATCTCGTTGTACCCAGCTTACACCAATCAGACATCTCTGAAATCCGCATCACGTGGTGCTGGGCCAGAAAACCCTATCCCGCTAGTCCGCTTCAGACCAAATTCCTGGCAAGTGGCAAACGAGTTTTTCCCCCTCAAGTGCACTGAACTTTTCTCGCTTAACACCTCTCACGCATCTTGCGAGCCTCAAATCTGCCGCCAGATTTCGTCAAGTTTCTCCATCCTCGCAAGACATCGACGGCAAAGTTATCCTCGAACAATCAGTCAAAATGGTGAGCGACAAAAATTCCTCCACAGGCCTCGGCCAACGATGGAATAACCCCCCTGGAACGACGTGCGAATGAGGAGAGAAATGGACACCGCCGACGACACATACCCTCCGAGTCACTGGGGTGAAGTGCTGTCGGTCGGAAGTTCAGGAATCGATTTCGCACAATGAAATATTCATGGAAACTCAAATCATGTTAACAATGACTGGTGCAGGTTCTCGCTGTTGATCTTTTGAACCCCTCGCCGGCCGCCGAGGCCAAGAAGCACAAGCTCAAGGTACGATCATAACAAGTCGTCGAAGCATCGTCCAGACCCCATTTCACAAGCGACGCCTCTACATGCGCCGCCTTCACATCAACTACCATGAGACATCGACTCTAACAACCTGAAACCCCTCTATAGACCTTGGTGCCCGCCCCTCGATCTTTCTTCATGGATGTCAAGTGCCCCGGCTGCTTCACCATCACCACCGTCTTCTCGCACGCCCAGACCGTGGTCATCTGCCAGGGCTGCACCACTGTTCTGTGCCAGCCTACCGGTGGTAAGGCCAGATTAACCGAGGGCTGCTCTTTCCGAAGAAAGTAGACTGCTACCGCTCGGTTTTCTCTCCTCGGGTACTCATGACTCTTACGGTTCATTCATGGTGATCGCATCTCGGATCTGCAGAACGAAAGCATCCAAATCCTTCGACAAATGGGCGTGGGGACGAACTTACTCACACCTTTGCGAACAAAATAATCTCAAACTCTTTTTTTGCAGATAGAAGATGGAATCGCCCACGAACAGGGGCGTTTGGGGTCTCCGGATATCACGCATGGCACATCATTCATCTCGTTTTTTTTTTTCATTACGCGCGCTTGTACCAAAGAGTCGTCTTTGAACCAGGAACAAAAGCACTGCATTAGGGGTGGATAGCTGGAGAAGGGCTTTTCACGAGTGTCTAGGAAGGTCTGGATGACCAACTGGATATGAGGACGTGGAACCGCTGGTTTGAGGATCGCTTCATACCCAAGTGCTCTGAGTAGCGGAGGTTAGGCACAATGCTTGCGAAAATTCAAATAGTTTCCACGAATATTGTCACTCGCTGCCGCCTGTATCGTGTGACTGTCGTGACAGACTTTGTAGCCAGGCTATGTGTGATGGACGATGAGATTGACTCACTGCGCATATGGACCACGAGTGTCAACGGCACCAAAATTAGGAATAACAAATGACTTGATCCCATGTGTCGTGGAACTAGAGTCGGTAAACTGAGTGACCAGCCAATGTGCTCCGAATCTAATATGATCCGTACCAGCTAAAGCCCGATCAGCCAAACTGGGTGGCGATTTTCCCATCCACGACATGACATCGAGACCCATTTCAGGCAAATTAGACCAAGTTTCTCCACCGCCAAAGCAGTGAGCACGAGTTGTCGCTACCGCTATCGAACCTTGCACAAAGTATGTGTGTATTATTAGCACGCGTTTCAACGCCGGTGCCAGGGGTATGGGTCCACGTCTTTAACTTGATATCTCATATGTAATAGGTGGAGTCTTGTCGCGTAAGTCGTCGTCTGACTTGTCCTTGTTTTTCAAGAGTTGTTAATGGCTACTTCTGTCGAGATAACGGTCTGGTTTGGAATGGTGCCGTGAACTATGGGAGCTTTTGTTCTTTTTTCTTCACTGTTCTTTTCACTGTTCTTTTCACTGTTCTTTCAAATCTATAGTCTATCGCGTTGATGGCGCTGTGATGGGAAATCTGCATTAATCACCCAGCGCCCATGTCTCCAGAAAGGGCTGATGTTTTCACCCTCTCCAACCATGACGCTCTGGAGACTGTAAATCAAATACGACAACATGAGAAAATCAAGCTTCACTCCCCGATTTGTATTTTGTCCATGGCTTTCCCTCTTCGACAAGGAAGGCAACTCAAGATTTTCAGGAGTAGAGACGTCGTTGCAAAAAGCAGCTACCCTAACCTAAACGCCGAAAATCAGTGAGCCAATCGGCGTCGACTTGCTTCCCGGTTCGCTCGCCTTCGTAATAATACTGGACGGACCCGGGGCTGAGCACTATACACGAAAACGCCACGTCCAGACGCGCTTCGGCACGTGCTTCGGTACGCGCTTTTGGTTCCGAGGCGAACTTTCTGCTTGAGCAGCGCCGCTTTTATCTCGAGCAGCTGTGATTTCTGAGTCAAGAAAAAATCAATTTCCGAATTTTTTTCGTATGCTCTCATGCTCGCTCACTACATGTCAAGTCCCATGGAGACTTTATGTAGTGAGAGCGGAAGTGTTCTGCTTAATCAATGGTCGCTGTACTCTTGTCCCGGATGGATAATAGCAGTCATTCAGCGACCACGGGGCAAACATCTAAATACTATGAAGTACTCCGCAATAGGTATATTAATACACTGTGCTCGCGCCCCCCCTCCCGAGTACGTAGTATTATTTCACTTGCGGCACTTGCGGAAGCGTGCAATGCAAGGAGACTTCTAGCGCTATCCGCGTGTGGCAGAGGAGGATGAGGACAGGCGAAAACGAAACATGAAAGAAATGACGACGCCAACGGAGTGGACTGAGGATCGAGCAGAGTTAACAGTTAGTTAACTTGATAATCCCAGAGGCAGGAAAAATAAAAAGCACTCGGAAGAAAAGTCTGTCACCTTACTAATTATTAAACGACTTGGGGTGGTACTTGCGGCTTTGTTGAGATATTAGTGTATAAGACAAAATGTCTCGTCGAATTTTCAACCCCACCAGCATTGGCGGAAGACCTAGCCCCCGTAGCACAGTGGTAGTGGTAAGTCCTTGGCCGACTCACGACCTTTGCGTCTCTGGTCCTAGCTTCTAACATAGTACAGCGTGTCACTCGTAATGACAAGGTCGTCTGTTCGATCCAGGCCGTGGGCACATGTGTCTATTTTTTACCATAATGTTTTTGCCAACCCTACGCAGGAGCGCACTTCCTGAAGTTGCAGTCATGAATTCTTTTTCCAATTTCTTCCCGAGAGCCCGACCAACCCCCCCCCCTGGTCCAAAACTATTCTTCATTACGTTCTCATATCGTCAACTTTCGCAATACTCATTACGGACTACGTACCTACTCCCTACCCAGGTAATAAGCGGGTCCCAAGCAAGAGCGGCATGCGCACTAACCCGAATCCGACATCAGCCCACTCAGGAACCAGGAACAAAAACTCCTGCGATAGAGACACGGACCTGTAGGAAGCGTCTCGCACATCCATCCCGACGTCAGCGGGTGAAACATACAGCTGTCCCCTCGAAACAAGGCAACTTTCCTCGTCCTTCTCATCTTTGCATACGGATCACAGCCCATGGCATCTTCCTACTTGACAGCATAGAAGTGACAGAGTCCAGATCCTTCGTTTCGTAAACACCCGCAATCACTGGCATCCGGGCAGCAAACCCTCATCTCGCCTGGAAGAAGAAGAAGAAGAAGAAGAAGAAGAAGAAGAAAAAAACCCCCCCCTTGGCATCACCATCCATCACCATGTCGACTCCACGAACCAAGCGCCAATTCGCAGGCTCCTCCGCCGACCCTGCCCAGCGCCAAATCACATCCTTCTTCCCCTCCCGCGCAGCCGGCGACGAAGCGGCTCCGTCCGAGGCGCAGACCTCCCGCCAGCCATTGCTGCCGTCCAGCGTCCAGGCCAACCTCCTCACCGTCGGCATGCGGATTCGCAAGTCCGTCCCGGAAGGCTACAAGACCTGCGGGCCAAGCGCGTTCAAGCTCTGGACCGACAACACGCCCCCGCCACAGCGGGCATCCGCATTGCGCGCTTCGTCAAGGGAACTCGTCCCGTTTTGCGGCATCAACAAAGTCGGGGGTCTCGACCCCCAGCCCGCGCTTGCGCGTGACGACGACGACGACGACGACGAGGTCCCAGACCTGGATGCCGTTCCGGAGCTGACCTTGTCTCAAGAGAGTGTGGAGAGCAACATGTCTGAATCTTCGCGTAAGCGAGTCTATGATGACAACGACCGTGACGACGAGCCGACCATGCTGACGCAGCCATCCAAGGGGTGGGATGAGGAAGTCAGTCCACGAAGCTTTGCCCCGTCTGAATGGCGGACTTCTCGCGTCATGGCCGTGCCTAGGTCCCGCGTGAGGAAGAGCGCCGTCCCCTTCAAGGGCATCGATCAGGAGAACATGGCTGTGGATGGGGACTTTGAGGACGCTGACTTTCTTGTTCTCGGGGAGGCTCGCGAGATGGATATGTCATGAGTGTTCTTTTGATTTTGGGGTTTTCCTTTTCCGTTCAAGACTTATTGTATTACTGTGCCGGCACATGTCAGGAATTTGTTCGGCTTATTGGGTGTATTCTTAATGTAAGAAGAGCTTGGTGGTGAGCCACAGATGGCTGGTTGGGTGGATATTCTGCTTTCTTCTTTTTCTTCTCGAGCTGTCCCTCAGGTGTTTGGAGTTGGGCAGAGATCAACCTCAGAATGCTCGAGCCAAGGTCAGTCAACCAGGGATGCAAAGTATGGTTTGTTCTTGAAAGCTTCAATTTTTTTTTACGTGAGCTCAGTTGCAAAATTCAGTAAGAGCTCCGTCGAACTACAACGTAGTCGCCAATATACATAAAATCTATCAAGATACGCTGTCAGGATGCAAATTATTGTTCCTAATCGCCACAGATGCCATGTCGCGTTTCCATTTCACAAGCCCAGAAAAGGGTTCCGAAACTCCAACAAGTCCCGTTGTCCGTAGAAATCTCCCGCGACCGTCAAAATCATGCTGAGCGTAGCACGCAAATTCATACGAAGCCGTGTTCTAGCCTCTTTCTGCGCCTCATTTTCTTCCCGTTGCTCCTCTGTATCTGAGTCATCGTTTAGCCTTGCTAAAAGACCTCTTTTGGCGGCTTCGAGATCACCATGCTCATCTCGAGCCTCGCCATCTTCTGAGCCGGAGTCGATTTCCATGGCTGCTTCGTCTCCATTCACGGACTGTTCTTGGACCTCGCCCTCTTCCCCGTTTTCATCTCCATTCGCGTTATTCGTGGCATCAACGTGTGGATTCTCATCATCACCCGCGTTGTACTGACCATCTTCAGGGGCGTCGCCATGTGCGACGTTTTCTTCTTCTGCATCTTCCCCATTCATATACAATGCATCCTCATCCCTGCTACTTGCATCAGCGTCCTCGTTCACGCCAAGTTCTCCATCTGGTAACGCATCTCGCATAATAGCCATCTCCTCCAGGCTTATGCCAAGCAGCACTGCACGACGACCAAGATCTCGTATCCATCCTATCTCAGTGTGGTTGAGCTCACCGCGCTCCGGTAGTCTTGCTAGCAATCCCCAGATCCACTGGGTCGTTCGCTCAGAAAGTGTACGGCCGCGTTGAAGGAAGTTGCCGCCTATGAGGACGCGCAGGATCAGAATCACTGTTTCTTTGGACATGAGTGCCAGTTGGAGTGGGTGGGGGTCGGTATTGCGTATAAGGTTTGCCCATACTTTGTTGGTGTTGGAGTTGCGTCCGAAGGGGGCCGCGTGCGTGACTTGAGTAGACGATAAACGCTTTGCCGCATCTGTGGGGGGCTTGGAATGCAACAATTTACGTAAACGGACATACTTCTTCATCAATGATGCAAAATAGGACTCATGAAGAAGTTGTACCCGAGCATCACCTTCAACATCACTGTCAAGTTCTCCGTCTTCGCCATGGATTTTCCAGTCTTCGTCGGGCATGGCGATGTAGGCCCCATCGTCGTAATATCCTTGCATGACTTCTTTGGTATATGCGATCGGAGCAGCAGCTTCAAGACCATCATCAATCTCGTCGTCGTCGTTGTCTCGGTCGTTATTTTGTAGATCTGGGGGGAGTTGTGGACCGATTTGGACCTTGGGAGCGACGAGCAGGTGTGGGATGTTGTATGCTTCTTTTCTACATACTCACCATATCAGCATCATCTAAAATACAGAAGAACATTTTTTTTTCCACGTTCAGTAAAGAGAAAAAATAATGCCGTGCGGGGAGTTGCGAGCTTGGGGTTGCATATGCAGCTTACCTTACTGAGTGCAGATAGGCCATGGCGTCGGCATCATCCTCAAAGTCCGACTCGTCGCCGTAAGGTATGGTGGTAGCATCTCCCAGGCTTGAGAAGACATACTTCTGGCCCCAAGTAGGATCTATTGACGAATTTTGGTGCTGATGGCGTGGCGTGGCGCCAGTCTGTCTCTTTGCTCGCTTGTTGGAGCCAGGTTCTGAAATTTCTCCCTCGTCGAGGTCCTGGAGCTCTCGTTTGGAGGGCATGGTTTTTTTCTCGGGGTTGAAGCCTGCCGAAACCAAGGCTGTTATGGAAAGCTTGCGGATGAGATCATTGGAAGGAAAGTGCGATGCACAGGTCGAAATTGTGGTGATGTTGGCGCAGACATGGGGAATCTTGTCAAGTGAAAGTGAATGCTGGTTGACGTTGAAACAAAAACAGACCGGAGAGCTGCCCAACAGACCAGTTGACAGCTGCCCGGCCCATGCATGGGGCTATCCAGGCTGGTGATAAGGTGATAATGAAGAAACAGGGAAACAGGCACACGCAGCGCTCCTTCCTGCAAAAATGGGCCTGGCCTTTGGAAATGCGCAACATTGAATTGAACATTGATTGATCCATCCGGTCACCTTCAGCTCTCATCGTAGCCACAACAACCAACAACCAGCCCTGCGATAACTCGAGCAGTAGGCAGTAGCTGACGCAGTAGCTGATCTCGCCGGCTCTGCGATGAGGGCAGTTTGCATACGCTGTGCGGGCCTCCATCCGCATGTGCGAGCACCTGAGGCACTTCTCGGGCCATGTACAACAAGCTCGCTGAGCTCCCGGCGACGATACCGGTCATATGGAACGTCACAACGTCGCTTGAAAAGCGCAAGCTGTAACCATTTCGTCAATTGTGGTGCGTACCTTGTTTCCCTTGCTGCCGGACGACATAGCACGGACGTAGTCGCTGACAAGACATAGACCGGATCGAACCCTCGTCGCCTGCTCCTCCAAGCCATCCCATTGCGAAGCCTTTCCGGCTGGCAGTAAAGGACAACATCGCAACCGCCGAATTCCCTACGCAATGTGCGTCGCCGATCCTCCGCTCGCACCAATCCCCGTATGAAGCTACCATAGTATCACAGCTCCGAGCGCGGGGCGCCACCGTGGTCGGAAAGACCAATATGGACGAGTTTGGCATGGGATCACATTCGACAAACTCCATGCACGGTCCAGTGATCAGCCAGCTGTCTACGGATGAACCCCTCTCAGCCGGCGGAAGCTCTGGAGGTAGTGCAGTTGCTGTAATGCTAGGAGACGCGGACATTGCACTGGGAACAGACACGGGTGGTTCGATTCGCCTGCCAGCATCGTACACAGGAGCCGTGGGTTACCGACCGAGCTATGGAATGATTTCACGATACGGCGTCTTTGCGTATGCCAACTCCTTGGATACAGTGGGGATGCTGGCAAAAGAGGCGAAACCTATTCTTGATCTACTAGTAGATACCAACTTGGACGAGGAACACGATGCGCGTGATCCAACATCATTATCAGCGGCATCTCGGCGGAGATGCGCCGCAGCCTGCCCCCCTGCATTGGGAGCTATGTCGAGTTTGACCATCGGAATCCCAGTCGAGTATAACATCGCAGAGCTCGACCCATTAATTCGCAAAGGCTGGGCTGCCGCGGCGACAGCTCTTGAGAAACTAGGCGCCAGCATCGTGCCCGTGTCCTTGCCCTCCACCAAGGAGGCACTCTGCGCATACTATGTCCTCGCCGCCGCCGAGGCTTCTTCTAATCTTGCAAAATACGATGGCGTCCGATACGGCGTCCGAGGAGAGTATGGCGATGCCCAAGGGCACACGTTGTACTCGGAAGCCCGCGGAGCAGGGTTTGGTCCTGAGGTCAAGC